TTTTTTTTTTTGTGCTACCCTTGTATAATAAACAGGAGCTCATTCATACTTCGGGCAATTTCAGAATTGTGAAAGTATCATTTAACATGTTGTAGCTGAGTTACATTGGAGAAACAATGGAATCTGATGCCACAGGAACACACCACATTACATCCTCTGACTAACAAAATATCTTTCTCCCAAACAAGTTTCAGTCACAGCTTTTCTACAAGTTATGAAAGACATCTTGTCATATAGATAAAAGAAGAAGTTTCCACAAAACACTGAAATTTACATGCAGCTTTAAAATGTCAGCATCAGGCACTTATTATTAAATCATAACACACATTCCTTGTAAGATAAAGGAATCACGCATTTAAACTAATAATAATAGTCGATAATTAATTTAACCTTTTTTATATGTTAATAAGTATTTATCAGCCAAAGCCTAACATATGCGAGGTTAAGTACTGTCGTTTAATATCACAGTTTTGCTCTTTTTTAAATATGTAATTGTCTTGTTAAGCAAAGCTGAGCCCTGACATCACAGGGTCAGACAGCCTAGGTTGTAGCTGGAAGTGGCATTGGCTCACCAGAAGGTGGCATTCTTCCTCCTGAACCAGAAAACAACAATTCTTCCAGCTCAGGACATGGGAACTCTGCTTTCGGTAGAATCTTTTTCAGATGAGAATGTGCTGTTGTTCTAGATCCCCATCAGATTTTCAAACATCTCGTGGTGCTTTTTTTGGAAGTGAGATGTGCCAGCACTTAAAATTATGTCCAAACACTGACAAATCCAAAAGAATGAATCTGATTCCGAACAGTCCGATTCCAATAATCACTGAAGTTCCTATTCCCCTACCAGGTTACAGTGTTCATAGCTGTTAACCAAGACGTAAAAAATACACTGGTGATTCCAAATTGGGCCAGTTAACAAAAATACTAATAATTGTAGATGTTGTTAAAATACAAAATACCATGGTTTATGAAAAATTGATAATGAAGGAAGAACTGTTTAAGTTAAAATACTTAATAAGACCAAGGTAGATTAGGTAAAGGACAATTTAAAAAAAAGGAGTTGCATTGTTAATGCCAACTAAGCTGAAGCAGCACTCCTGCCACCAACACGTTCAGTCACAGGCAGTTTCACTAAGTGCCTGTGACTAACTGGACATTTGACAGAATACATTATCCAGTGCTATATTTCAACTCTTTACTTCCTGGTCAAGAGGAAGAATGTGGCACCTGCTGGCCAAGGCTACAAAAACCTGTTACCAAGGAAACATTTTTTAATTTTAGACATTTCCAATCACATTGGTAAACATGCCCAGGTTTTCTCAGCAAAGCAGTGAGCACATTGCGGACACAATGTTAATTAAGAACAGCTGCAAGCTAGTGTCTTCTTGATATTATATGGGTGGCATGCATGGTAACCATGTTTTCTGATGGCTTTTGTCATTTGAAGTTAACCTGACACATATGTATTTTGATTTTAAACCACAAGGCAAACATTTTAAAAAAATATTAAAAAAAGAAGTCATTTGTATAAAATGAGCCTTGTATAAAAAGAAAATGAGTGAAACAAAACCCTTCTATTTGAACCTTCATGTTCTATGACATATTGTTCACCTTAAAAAATTCTAATCTAGAATGTAAACTTATCACTAAAAAAAAATCTGGGGATGGACTAATTTCTGACATGATTACAAAGGCACAGAGCCCTTCTTTGGAAAAAGAGGGCCAACTGATCGGGACTCTTATACTACTATGAACACTGCAATATGGTGCCCAGAGGGTACAAGTGGAAACTACATGGGAAGTGCATGTAAAGCTGAGAACAGTGGATTCTTCTTTACTCAAAGGGCTGCGAGAGTATGGAACAAGCTACCCTGCCTTGTTGTTGAAACCAATACTCTGGCTTCTTTGGAAAAATAGCTGTATTAGATCCTTGGATTAATTAACTTCCATCAAATGGGCTAGACAGGCATGCCTCTCTTTAAATTTCAAGTCTTAATGCTGTCAATATTATTAAGATTGGTTTTGAATCTTTCATAAAGTGATACCAAAGCTGAGAAGGTAAAGCAAAGATCCTATACACTGCACATGGCTTCCTCATAACAGATGTGCTGCTCAGGACTGCGTCATGGAATTGAATGATATACTGTATATCAAACAAATTATTTTATATACTGTACTTAACATGTGACATTAGGTCAGGCTTATAATATACATTTCTTCTGCAAATTCAAATCATCCAAAGCATCTGTATTATTTATAAGAAAAAGCCATTATTTGGTGCTTTAACTGACAACTTTAAAATGTATTTAAGTATTATATTTACTCAGTCCAAAAAGAACAACAAAACCACCAGCAGAAAATAAGCTAGAAAGTCGTTATTCAGAGTGTCCAGCTTTCAGATGACAGATAGATAAAGCTGTCTCCCTCTTGTGCGAAAAGGGAAACAAAATTCAGTGGCTGGGTTTTTTCAGGTATGTTGGTAGTGGCTAGCTGGTAAACGGGGGGGAATTAAAAATAAAAGTACGTGATAAAACTAACATGCATCACAATAAACTCCTACTTTGATCCAAGCGTGGGATCTGATTGGGCTTCTCTCATGTCCATCTGCCTCGCTGCGATCTCATTGGCTCCAGGGAATCCCACTGGTTTCCTAAGGGTTGATGGGATTTGAAGTTCTCCGATTAGAATTACTTCAACACGCCAGGGGCAAGCAGGGGCCAAATAACACAGTCAGACTGTGTGTGCACGTGTGCGCATATGTGCACAGGGAAGGGAGTAGGTGGGCCTACATCAGAAGGGTCTTATTCAGCTTTGGGCCTCATGCTGCAGTCTTCTGCTCTAGATCAACACTTGACACCAACAGACATACAGAGAGTGGGTGAGTCTGTATGGGTGAAAGAGATTGCGTAAAAGAGCGGGCAAACAACCGTATGCAGGTGGACAGATGTGCTTCCGAATTGCAGACGATGATGATGAACAGACTAACAGCACACAGGCAGAGGAACAGGCTGACAGGCAGGAAGAGCAAACGAAGGATGGGTAAGAACAGTTTAATTAAAAGAAAAGCATTAACAGTCCTGCAACAAACAAGGTGAGTGGAGGCGTAAAACACACAGGCACCAGACTGGAACAGCTGCAGGTACCTATGCAAGCATCCAAGCAGACAAGAGAGAAGGGAAAAATTGACTGAACTCACTTTCTAGCTCGGTTCTGGGCAGCCTGCTGCTGCTGCTGGACCTGCTGGGAGGCGGCAGGGCGTTTTCGGGAGGGCTCCATAACAGCGTTTGGCATTCCGGGACGGACTGAGGGGCTGCCCCCGTACGGAGGGCCAGGAGGACCCATAGGGGCTCCCTGATGGGGCATCCGGGCTCCAGATGGCATTCCTGGACGCTGCAGGAAGCAGAGGAGAGAAACCAAGCTCACTGGCATGAAATAAAAACACAGAGGATTTCTCTCAATAATTTGTCAAGCCATTCCAAGCTCTACCCACCACGTGAGAGAAATGCATTCTCAGATCTTCCTATGTACTCATCCTCACGTTATGCTAAACCAAATGAAGTCTTAAATCAATGATAGAGAAAAATCTTGTGTATTCAAGCATGTGAATACATTTGATCAAATCTCCCTGCATGTAATGTCTGTTGTACATGTACTCTGTCTTAATACCTGATAATTAACACTTACAATAATGAACACCCTGGAGGGGTGGTATGGCTGTAGGGTTTGATTTCTAAACAGCTATTAATGAGCTAAACCTGCTGGTTACTGGCTTAACTGGATTGTTTACCAGTTAACAATCACCCCACTCTGCAGGTGCACCTGCTTCACGTAGTCCTTGAAAACCTTTAGAGACTTCAGCAATCTGGAACCAAGTTTGGACACACACCCCTGAGGTAGGTATTTTTACAAACGTGAGTGGTGGCAGAGCAGGGGGTGGGGCATTTGTTTCCACAGTATATTGCTCTTAGCAATAGCTTCCTAAGGGAATGATCCTTGAGATGATTTTGTTACTTCTCAATGCCCAGTTCAATAAGTACCTTTTTTTCAAACAGACAGAATGGAAATGCACTGTCCAGCAGCAGCATTGATTGGCTTTGGAGTTATTCATTTGGTTTTAATAAGAATTCCTTCAGCAAAGTGGTACAGTGAATACAGTGAACAGGGTTCTGGACTCTGGAGGGGAGAGGATTCCAATCCTGGGTGAAACACTGCTATTGTACACTTGAGCAAGATATTTCAAATACCCAGCTATTAAAATGGGTGCAAATGTAAGTTGCTTTGAATATAAGTGTCCTCCTTCAGACTAATGGCAGACCAGGAATCTTCTTAGAGGGCACAGGTGAAAGTGCATTTAAAACCAAAAGCAGGAGGCACAAAGAGTTGTGGAAGTATGGAACAAGTTGTCCAGCCATGCTGAAGAGGCATATACCCTGGGTTCTTTCAAGAAATAGCTGGATGAAGTCCTAGGTTTAATTACTGTATCTACTAACTACCAAATGAGCCCGATGGGCCAAATGGTGTCTTCTCATTCGTAACTCTTCTTTATGTTTTTACTTTACAACACTGCTCAAGATATTTACAGTTTTGTCACAAGTGCTGGGCCCCAGGCCTCCTCGCTCTCCCTCCACCACCTGTCTGCTGGGGGCGAGTGGGGAGCTTCTGGGAAGCCTGACTGACACCTGCCTCTGCCACTCCAGCGCAAGCAGCTGCACTAACCCACAGAAGAAAGAGGCTCCTGCACTCCCCTCCCAGCCTTGAGAGGGCCAGTCTCTTTCCTAAAGCACATTCCGCCCTACACCCATAAGAATAAACTCTCAGGGCTAGACTGACAGACCACAATCCATTGTATGCCTATACCCTTTGATCTAAAATAACACTGAGCAGTCAAAGATTAGTGTTAATAAGCTTCTGTAAAACCACAGCTCACAGAAGGCTATAGAAATGTTCCAAATATATAGAAATGGTCCAAATACCTATAGGAACTCTTTAGACAGCATCATGTAGAAAGATTTGAGTTACACTTAATTTCACAGAGCATGTTATTAGGAAAACATGATTAAAAGAGTCACGAGCAACATTTCTTGAACAGAGCAACTATGAGGGTGCAAGACTGTCAATTTTTCCTATTTAGCCACGCACATAATATGATATTACAACAATTCATTCTTCCCTGTGAAATGCAGACAGCCTTTTTTAAATGGGATTTTCCAGGCTTTGCATTTCACTGTTCAGTTTTAGGAGTCATTCAAAGTATTTAAAGGTGAAAAAGAAAGAGACAACAAGGTACTAAAACATTTGATTAGTTACTCATAGCTAAATAGGTTAGGTTCTCTAAAAGAAGCTTCAAAAGCTTTAAAAATAACCTGAGTGTAACCAACTGCTAGGAACATACAATATAATAGAGGACATGATATAAAAAACATTCCTTATATCAATTAACTTTATTTTGACCTAAAGAACATGGGGGACATGCCTTTATCCAACTTCTTATGATAAAAAAACATTAAGATCAGAGTGGACTAAAAAATGAAGAACCTCAGATCTCTGTTACAAGAACTCTTGAACATTACGCTCCAGGAAACACTTGCCCATGGTCTTCTATAGCAGCATGCAGCATAAACATCTATTAATAGAGTAAAATTAGGTTTACAGAAGACACAAGCAGGAAGTGAATATATTCATACCAGGCACACCATTTCATACCAGTCATAACATTTATTCATTTATTTATTATTATTACAGAAGGTATTAAGTACGCTGTGCGACTCCAAGTAAATGAAATCATTTTTAAAGCATGTGTCATGAAGATTATTAAAATCGAGAAACATACAGTACAATCCAGTGTAACAGTATCAAGCCTAGAGAAGCCTATAAAAAAAATCTGTCTATAAAAATACTCAAAATTGTGGTGAAATCTGGTATGCTGAGTTACCCAGATACTAACTTGGGGAAAGCTGTCTGTGAAAGTCAGAAGGCAAAGGCTGCTAAAACATATGTTACTGCAACAGGGCTGAAAATCCTCACTTTCTAATACAGAAGCCCGTCATCTCATTTATAGAGGAACAGTGCTGTCTTCAGCTGGACTATAAACTCTTGTGAAATCCGGTTGTGAACAAACACTAAATTGGAAAGACAATAATTGCTATTGCAAACGTAGAACAATCCTGTTTTGAAACTAAAAATAAACTTCACTCATAACACTTTTCCACTGGCCTAAAAATGGATTTACTCCATTTTTGGAGTAAAACCCTCAAACCTCTTTAGTTAGTAGGTTAACGGGAATGAGAAGCCATTAAAACAGATTTTGGCATGAGCCTAGTGACAACTGGGATTCCCCTTCACAGCTGTGACTGGGAGAGACTGGACAGGCACCTGGCCACAGCAGCTCAAGTCACAGGGTTGGTAAGATACCAAACAAATGTCAAACCAGCCACAAAAGGAAAAGACAGTCCACCAAACTAATCAGTATTATTGAAAGGTTTAATCAGTTTTTTCCTTGATTGGATAGTCAAAGATAAACTAAATCCATCCATCCATTTTCTAACCATTTTATCCAGTACAGGATCACAGGGGAGCCAGAGCCCATCCTGGTACATGGCTCGCACCAGGGCTAATTTTCCCACAAGCCAATTGACTGACCTGTATGTCTTTGGACTGAGAGAGGAAACCAGAGCACCCAGAGGAAACCCATGCAAACTCCAAGCAGACAGCACTCCAAGTCCAGAATAGCACCCAGGGCTCCAGTGCTATCAGGCAGCAATGCTAACCAATACCCCACCATGCCGCCTAGATTAAATTCTCACTAGAAATACTGATGCAATTCACCCACACTGGGACAACATTGAAATTATGTGAATGTTAAGATGAATCTTTCTTACCAAATGTTATTTTTTGACAAAGAGGCAGAAGCTCTAACATTATGACAAAACCCCCATTCTACAATACATGAAGAGTGTGTCATTAAGTGTTTAAATGGGCAGAAGCCATTGTGATGCGCAAGTAAAACACCACGGAAAGCAGTTCTAGCTACAATGCAATTGCAGGAAAAAAGCCCACCAATCAGCAATATAGTGTGCGTAGTCATATTTTTGTCTTTATTTTACACAGCAGCTGCTGGGTCTCAACTGAATATCAGTCTTAGCTCTCAGAAAGAACTTGATAAAACCACAGTGGCTGGGGGGGGGTGGCCTGATGTTTTTACCTTGAAAAGGTTCTGGCTTTTACCCCAGTTTTGTCTGTTTCGAGTCTGAAATGCATATGGACTGGGAAACCTGCCAGGGTACATCATCTTATACACCATGGCCTCAAGACTGCAAGCGTAGCTTGCAATGGCAGGTGAGAAACCCTTCCAGACCAACAGCGTAGCTCAGATGCAGTTTGTTGCGGTACTGCTGTTTGGCAGGGCGTCTGGGGTGTAGATAATCACCTACAGGTTTAATTCAAAAAGAGTAACTGGGTGCATAGATAATTGTGCAGTGTTTTAGTAGCTATTTTAATTGCTTGCTCTTAAAAAGCAATGGACCTGCTTTACTCTGGCAGGGAGAGACAGACAATCAGAGTCAGTGAAAATAGATGCCATAGATTCGTTCTTCTAACAACATATTTATATATTTGGAGCAAGTCTCTGGTCTGAAACTCTTAAGTATTTCAACCACACATATGGACTTCCTGTGACGTAGATTTAAAAGCCTAGTATTTGATTTATTAAACGTTTAGCCTGTTGTACAGGTCACGCGTGATTTTCCAGTTTTGTTTCTCAAGATAATGGCCAGGCAGAAAGAGCCGGTGCCACTGGGAAACTATTCTACTTCCTCACACTCGCTGGAAAAGGACATTTTTCTTATGTGGCTTGTCTTATACATACCACAGCTATCTTCTTCAGCTATCTTCAGGGGAAGAGGTTCATTGATAGTAGTTTTGCCCTAATATGTGCAGTTAAGTCAACAGTTTATCTAATGGGGCTCCTGTATTGTAGCCTCTGTTGGTGCTGCTTTGCATATTTGATACAGGACTTCAATTTCCAGCAAGAGTTCACATTCAGCACATCACTCCTCATTGTAGTTAATATTCATATGAAAAGATCAGAGGGTGGCATGGTGGCACAGTGGTTAGTGTTGCAGCCACACAGTGTGGCAACTCTGGGTTCAAATCCTGGACTGCTATCTGCTTAGAGTTTGTATGTTCTCAGGCCCCAGTGTGAGTATGTATGTTTCTCTGTGTGCCCTGCAATGGACTAGCATCCTGTCCTGGTTGTATCCGGCCTGCCAGGATAGACACTTGCTCCGTCTTGGTTAGAAAATGGCTGGACAGATTAAATAATCAACAATGATCTTGTAAAGATGCCCAGTTCTGTACTGGAATATCACTATCAGTTTACATGACATGCTTCA